CAAAATAAATAATAACAAAATAATCTTTTACTTGGATGGAAAGAAAAATAAGGAAAAAGAAAATTAGAACAAAAATATTTTTTTTACTATTTTTGAAAATTTCTTCTTCCAATTTCGTTCCACTTTCCCCGTCATCCAAACAAACTCTGAGTATATGGTTAAGAAAATTACAAAAACTATCCAATTATATTTTTTGTTATAGGATTTCTTAAAAAATGTCTTATACTATAGACATAGGAACTAGGGGTACTAATATATGCTCATATTCTTTGCCAAAGTGCTTGGTGGCAAATGTCTCATTCCACATCTGAATTTTGTTTTTTAAAGAGATGACGAAAAAAGGTTATAGAACTTAGCGATGATAATGTATGTCGGATAAGTCATGTGATAAGAATAGGATGTGGTTGAATATTGTTGATATATATAAATATATATAGAATAGTTGGGCCGGGATTGAATATTTTTAGTGTAATATTATATATATATATATATATATATTGTCTTAATTAAGAAAAGTTTGTAAAACTATTTTTAAAAGATTGATCAGACTTCAGAGTCGTCTAAGATCAACCTTTTGCCTCTAATACTTTATTTTTGGCGCCAAAATGCATAACGTAATCCTTATCTCCGTTTCCGTTTCCTACTGACTAGCCTTAGTTGTTATGGATGCAGACGCCTCCTGTCACATGCATGTCTAGTTTGTGACAATGTTGGTTGTCATGACTTTTTTACAAGAATTCCTCTACCAATATACTATTATTAACTGTTAATTTTGCCTTATTTTGTCTTTTAATTTGCTTTTCCGTTCGCTTTGTGCCGTTTCCTTTTCTTTTGTAAGGTTGTATTCTAGGTTTTTTTTTAGTGTTTTTTGACTTTAATGCCAATGATTGTAATACATGTTTTTTATGATTAATAAAATTGATATTTTAACAAAAAAACAGTTAACAATCTTGAAAATTTAAAATTTTCAAAAAGAACGATTCTTGATCGAGTTGATTTTTTTTTAGTATTCATGTTTCGTATTATCATATTTATCTTTCATATTATCAAATTGACAACTAATTAATCTTACAAAATTTGTTATAGTGTTTGCATAAGAATATGACAAAACTTTTTCTTTTTATAAATTCCTTATACTAAGATTGTTAATTCTCGTGTGAAAATTGTCCGTGTGGAGTCATTGACATGAAAAGGTTTCCTTTTTTTATTCCCCCTTCTTAGCAAACTTCACTAGTATATTTTGATAAGTCTGACAAGTAACAAGTATCAATATTTTAGACTTATCCTTAGTTCACATAGGGAGAAATTTTAGATTTATCCTTAGTTCAGATAGGTAGAAAAATAGGATGGAGGAAAAATTAGGAGGGAACTTGTATTAATATAGTTGAACGCATGTATTGACAAAACAATTTTCATGTTTTTACAACATTACATTATAGTTTTTCTCATTTGGGCTCTCGGGCAATTTCAGATCCAATTAAAGAGCTTAACTTTCACCCTGTGCATAATGCAAATTACAAATTCACTTCATGAAGTAATGGGTCTCAAACTAAAGGCTCACTCAATTGACTTTCTACCTAAAACTTCACACAGCTTTAATACAACCATCATCTCTCTGCGCACATTTGCAATCTCCAAAATGTGTGAATGAGAGAGAGAGAGAGAGAGAGGTAACTTTTAATTCAAAGTCTTGTCCAAATACCCCCACTTTACCATCTTCATAATTCTGGACTGAATCATCATCTCTCCAAGATTGAATACAAGATTTGAGATGAAAAAAGGAAGTATGAGAAAGAAAAGTGGTGATATGAGACTCGTGCACGTGCCTTGATTTCGCCACCATTAGCCCCATTTATGACCATCAGAAGAGAGAGAATGAAGAGAACGGAAGAAGAAGAAAGGAAGAAAGAGAAGAAGAGAGTCACTAAAGTTGATTATGGAAAGGGCAAGTTAGTCATTTTGCCAAAAATATAATTGCAAAGCTAGTTGGATTTTCATAATAATTTTAAAGCAGTTAAGTTCTCAAAATAATTTCAAATTTTATTGGACCTTTCTACAAATTTCTTATTTTTAGGGACCTGAAGGCCATTCTCCCTAATTTCTTCCCTAAAGAGTACAGTCAATTTGAATTTTACTAACCCACATCAACGTCCTCAAAGACATGACGTGGCATTTGTGTATGAGAATCATTTATGCCATGTACTTCAATTATAATTTTTCATCCTCTTATCGGGGATCAATTTTATATTTCACATGGTTTAATTTGCTTTGGACCAACTTGGGAGAAATTTGACCCTTTCAAGAATTAATCTCTTTCAATACTCGTCTTCCAGGAGATTGAATTTTTTTAATGTTATTTGATATTTTCCCCATGACATCACCACATCTCTACCTGAAGTGTTGAATCTTCTTTTGAGGTCAGATTGTCGTTGACGTTAGGAATGATGATGCTATACATGTTTGTCATTGTTTTAGGAATTGAAGTTTCCGTGTTGTTAATTATATATGCCTTTTTTATACTTAAAATTTTACGTGAGTTAATCATATGATCATTTCGGTGATAATATTTTTGCTCATGGCATTTTCATGAGCTAACTGCAATTAAAGCAATTATTTTAGCTGGTAATTAATGCCTAAGATCACTTTAGTATTAGGACTACTTTTGATCAACCACCATCTTATTGTATTAATTAAGGTGGTGGATGATGAGAAGAAGTTTTCTTTTGATTTTATTTTAAACACATGTTTATGGTTATGTTATGTGTCCCTTTTCATTGAAAAAAAAAAATAAAGCAATTATGATGCAGTGAATCCAAAGGGAGATGCGTTTCGGGATCATCCCAATAGATGAACCTAGCTAAAATTCAGCCCTCGAGCTGCACATGCAAAAATTCTAGATTATTTTAAAGAATAATCAATATAATACATAAATAATTTTATTTTTAATTGTAGATTTATTATTTATTTTGACACATGAAATTTGTCCAAGGTTCGGTTACTCGGTTTTTTTTTTTTAATGAGTGCTTTATTTATGGAGTAGCTAACATTTAAATTCGAATAACCCAATGCTTCTGCAGAAGAAGATTTTTCTGGTTTCAGACTAAAAGTTCAGTTAACGGGGAAAAAGTTACAGTTTAAAGAACCTTAAAATTTTTTATTGAAATATTCTTTTAAGAATTTTGAAATTAAAGATATTTTAAGTTTTACTCCACTTACAAAGTGAATGTGTTAAATAGATTATAAATAAGTTTGATATAAACTCTCCCCTCATTCGGCTAGAAAACCGGCAAACGGGCGAACTCAACTCACATTGGTTCAGGCCCATAAGCTTGTTACTTTAAAATTAGGGAGAATGATAAAAATGTTCCTAATTGTTTTAAATTAGATCGCAGGTCTCCAATCTCAAGAATTTACAAATTCAAATCTTAACTTTATAATTTTATTATGATGAATTGCAGCTTATGTTTTAAATTTTAATAAATAAATAGATTTATTTATTTTTCAACCGTTAAAATTTAAAAAAGTAAATTATAAATTTATTATAAAAAAATTGTAAATTTAAGAAATAAACTTTCAATTTTTTGAAATTTGGGACTTGGGATAAGTTGAGGGGATCTCTCTCTCATTCTTTCTTAAAATTAATTATTTATTCCAGCAAAGCTCTTATTGATAGGTTTTGGATTGTGTCCACAAGCTTTTTTTTTATTATTATTTTAAAAGTTTAAATTTTATATGATAATATCATACATTCTTTTTCTAAAATACAAACTATAATATTTAAAAATTAAAAAAGATAATATAAATTTTAATTTTAAAGTATAAACATGTATTTTAAAGTATAATTCAATTTTAAAATAAAAAATATTTTCTTTTTTAGAATAAAATAAAAAATATACTTAAATACGCTGTTCGAGCTTGTCTGTATGGGGCTAAAATGAGTTAACTTTAAAAGCTTGATTACACTAAATTTTTTGAATCTTTCATCCTAAAAAGTGGACAACTCGCCAAACCCGACCTGTATGCTTGATTTTACATTGAGTTATCAATTACGTTCTCTTAAAATTTCTAATACAATTGTGTAAGATCTAATTTTGTACCTTTTATTTTACTAAATGTTCTTGACTTGCGTTTTTTCCTGACAAAACACGCTGCTTTTTTGCCTTTTATAAACACTCTATATTTTAATTCTATAGCTATGTTTTCTGGATTCAGATTTATTGTACCCACAAATTGAACGTGACAATTTTTTTTTTTTGGTTGCTAATTGAATATAGAAAGTGAGAAAAATGAATGCGGCAATTTAGTTGGGAGGATTCTATTTTTTATTTAGTATATTAAAACAAGCACACACATATCTATAATATATAATATATAAATCTATATATAAGATGTGATATAAAACTAAAAACATAATATTATTTATAAATTATAATGATAACTTCAAACGTACACTGCTAAGTCTAATAATATAGAATCCCATCCCATTAATAAGATTCTCTTCTAATCAGTAATATCAGTAACGATAGAGGGTGTGTTTGAATTTTAATTAGAAAAAATTGATTATAGAAAAAATTAATTATTAAAACATGATGATGTTGGACAAATTTTTAGAAATTGATTTTGATAAATTGAATATGTTTGGATGATTTTTTGAAAATAATTTTGAATGTGTAAATAAATGATATAAAGAAAAGGAGCCAAATTGAGTTTTATAAATAGAATACATTTCAATTTCTCTAAAATAAAGTTTTTTAAATTAAATAAATTTTATGAAATGAAGGTGTTTGAATAAATTTTTATAAAAGTATAATTTAATTTTAAAATTAATTTTTAATGAGTATCCAAACAGATTCAGTGTAGTCATTTTGGAGGGTGTAATTTAATAAGTTTCGTTATTACTATTTGTTACTTACAACTCACATCCCAATTTCTCCTTCCAATCAAATCAGGGAACCCCCTCCAAGTTTGTTATTTAAACCTTCCTCGGTTCTGCATTCTTCTTCATCTCCCTCTCCTTCACAAACAAGTAGAGTCACAAGCTCATACCCTCCAATTTTGTCGGGTCGGGTCCTGTAATCTCGGACCTCATGGCCTCCGCGCGAAAAATGGCGGGACTCGTATCCACGAAATTCTTTCCGCGAGGGAATCCTATGAGATGGAAACACTATGTATCTCAGTTGGCCGAGAAGCAAAACGACGCCGTGGCCGCCATCCCTGAACTCCCACCCTTCGATTACTCTCCCCTGCCCTACTCCGGCCCCTCCGCCGACGAGATCCTCGCCAAGCGCAAGCAGTATCTCAGCCCCTCCGTCTTCCACTTGTACAAGACTCCCGTAAGAATGATAAATTTATTTAAGAAGTTCAATGCTTTATAATTTCTTAAATTCACAAATATTTGACTTAGCACGGTGATTCGATTTCGATGCTGACGGCGAGGGGGAGCACAAAAGCCGTCGCCCCGTACACAAACCATCATTTCGTTACTAAATTGAAGAAATGTTCTATGAACTAGTTACAGAAATGTATAGTGTGCTTTGATTCTGATCCCGATTTTAATTCTGATGAATACGATGGTGGTGGTGATAGGTGAACATAGTGGAGGGGAAGAGGCAGTACTTGTACGACGACAAGGGGCGGAGGTATTTGGACGCGTTCGGAGGGATTGCTACGGTGTGCTGCGGGCACTGCCATCCTGATGTTGTGGAAGCCATAGTGAACCAGACAAAGCGCTTGCAGCACTCGACGGTTCTTTACCTCAACCATGCCATCGCCGATTTCGCCGAGGCTTTGGCTTCCAAACTTCCTGGCAATCTCAAGGTGCCTCTGCTGATCATGATTTCTATATTTCAGGGTGTTCTTGTTTGTTTGTTTGTTTGTTTTTTTTAAAAAAAAGCATCCGTATTCGTTCATTTCAATATGCGTGTTTCTGTAGACTCACGCTTGTTGCTCTTTTTTTGTTTTTTGGGATCAAGTCTTCACTTGTTATTACTCTAATGAAAGTATAATTCAGTCATGGATTAAACGACTTGAAAGAAGAAACTGACGTGCTTCACGTGAAACGACTACGAACATATATTACAAAAATTGATGACGACACTTTTTGGACATGAATAATAGAATTGAAATCCGTTGTGCTTGTGCTGACGAATTATGGACACAGGTGGTGTTTTTCACAAATTCTGGAACGGAAGCAAACGAACTGGCAATATTAATGGCAAGATTGTATACGGGATGCCACGACGTTATATCTCTGAGGAACTCCTATCACGGAAATGCAGCTGGGACGATGGGGGCCACAGCCCAAAGCATCTGGAAATTTAACGTTGTTCAAGTATATATATTTATTCTCTCCCACTCTTATTTATTTATTTTTTCCTGAACCACTCCTATTTAATTTGACTACCGTCATTCTTAATTTATCTCTAAACTAAATATTTTTTTCCCCTTGTAATTTCAATTCTACTCTTTTTTTTTTAATATTTCAAAGCATGTTAGAGATTATTGTGCGATAATACAAATTTGGTTACACACACACACACAAACACACACACATTAAAAAATAGACCTTTATTATTATATTTCAGAAATGAATTATGATAAACTATATAATTTCTTAACAATGATGTAAAATTTCTGGAGTTTTTTATAAAATAAGAACATAATTTATGTGTTTGTGTAAGATATTTGTATTTGTACTAATTAATAAATATGACTTCTGCGCGCCCGCAAGAGATACATACATATAATACTTGGTTTTTTTTTATTTTTATTTGGACAACCTTTAAATTCAATATTATATCACTGATTCTCTCAGAAAGGCTTCTGAATGTTTTCTAAATTTACCAAGACGAAAGAACACTATCACCAAGGATGTTAGTGGATTGTCACATCAAAGTTGGCTGGCGCATATTTTCACCAACCTTTTAGTTCCTTGCCAACGTAGGTGTGATAGTAACATCAACGGAATTCCGCATCGTTGGAGTTGGAGGCTTTCACTGATCAGCTCATTGAAGTTGGCTTTTACTTTGAAAGCAATGTCTAAAATGTGGACACACTTGGGAAAATAATGTTATAATGCGTGGTATCTGCTCTGGCCTTGCATTACTAGGAGGAAACAAAAATACGGCTTTCAAATGATGTCTTTCTCCTTTGTTTTATCACTTTCTTCCTTGCTATGTGAACTCATTATATGTTGACCATATAAAGTTGCATACAATACTTAACTTTTGGCCGATAGCGTGACATTTTAAATTTTCATATTACACAGTTTCTTAATATATATGCTGTTTTGCTGATGTGGCCAACAGACTGGAGTTCATCATGCCGTAAATCCAGACCCTTATAGAGGTATTTTTGGTTCTGACGGAGAAAAGTATGCAAGAGATGTCCAAGATATGATTGACTTTGGCACTTCTGGAAATGTTGCTGCCTTCATTTCTGAAGCTATACAGGTATTTCCTTTGAAATGAATTCGGCCACATGGAATTCTTCTGACTGTATGAAAGCATATTAAATGTGAAGTCTCAGTGAAAACTGCTTGAAATTATCACATATTTTTTCTAAACATTATAGCCGACCGAATCTATACGGAAATTTATCAGAAAACAAACCCTTTGACGCCACTGTTACTTACATGTGGCAGGGAGTGGGGGGCATCATAGAATTGGCCCCAGGTTACTTGCCTGCCGTCTACAGCAATATTAAAAAAGCCGGAGGGCTCTGTATCGCCGACGAAGTTCAGGCTGGGTTTGCTCGCACTGGAAGCCATTTTTGGGGATTTGAGGCCCATGGTGTTGTTCCTGACATTGTGACAATGGCAAAGGTGATTCTTCTCTCCCCTTCAGATGCTAAAACTGTAACAGTTTGCACCATGCCAACAAGGACTAGCTCAATTAGTAAAATCAAAACTGCAATAACTAAAAGATCATCGATTTCTATATTCTTTGTTACCTATCTAATTCTAGTAAATTTTGCTAACCGAGTAGAAGAAAAACAGGGTTTACCAAAGTGCACAATTGCTTTTGTATATATGTTATTGTCTTGTGATTTTCTTTTGTTAGGGGATTGGAAATGGCATTCCCTTAGGTGCAGTAGTAACTACTCCAGAGATTGCTGAGGTCTTGGTTCGCCGAAATTACTTCAACACTTTCGGAGGGAATCCTGTTTGCACTGCTGCAGGGTTGGCTGTTTTAAGAGTGATAGAGAAAGAGAAACTTCAAGAAAATGCATTTGTGGTGGGATCTTATTTGAAAGAGAGATTCTCTGCGCTCAAGGATAAATATGAATGTAATACTTCTATTCCTTCTTATTTCCTGACCTTGAATCATAGCCAGCTTTTTTCACATATATAGGGATCTTTCTTGATTGAAGTGGATTTATAATAATCAAAACATAAGAAACTATTTTTTACTTCATGATGGAAAACTAGCTGGTTTCTTGTGTAGTAATTGGGGACGTAAGAGGGAGAGGGATGATCCTTGGAGTTGAACTTGTGACTGACCGTAAATTTAAGACACCAGCAAAAGCTGAAACATTGCAAGTATTGGACCAGATGAAGGGTATATTTCATGGCCTTTTCTTTCTCTAGTTTTGGTTAATTATTCGTATATTTTCTCCTTTTTTTGGTTGCTAACTGATAATCTCTTTTACGTTTACAATCAGAATTAGGAGTCCTCGTTGGAAAAGGTGGGTATTACGGGAATGTCTTCAGAATTACACCTCCTCTGTGTTTCACCAAAGAAGATGCAGGTTAGTCTTTCTATTATATTCCTAAAACCTAAGAAGCACAACATTACTCGGGAATAATAGATGGCATTTCTAAGAACTTCTAGGATGTGAGATTTGTGAAAAAAAAACTTATTCTGTATTAATTTTATACTACAGGTTAAATTTTAGTTGATCTTTTGTTTTTTGTTTTTGGGAATACAAATGAGAAGGATAAGCTTGAAAAGCAAACCCATAACTTATAACTAGTCATCGGGGTGACTTTAGTGTGTAAGATGATGAGTGTCGTCATAGAAGACATTAAGATATTACATAATAGCAGTAGATCTATAATATTTCATATATACTAGACGTTATATTCCATTTTGAATTTTCTCAAATTAATTATTACTAATAATTTGTAAATCTATTTACTATGGATGCAGACTTTCTGGTGGACGCGATGGACTTAGCGTTATCTAGGATGCAATCATAAAAAAGATAACGTCAAATTGTAGATAAAGAAATATTTATGTGATCATATGATATTACCAGAACCAGATATCACGTTTCTGGTTTGTTAGTAAAGCTAGAAATATATTACGCAGGCTTGGATTAGAGTTACGTTACAATTTTCTAATGTGACCTTGCTAAAATTAAACGAGGAGTTAACATTTCGTTGTCTCGCGAATCTCATCTCTTATTGTAGCATGACTTTTATTTATCTTCTTTATCTCTCGTAATTGATTTCCCTGTATTTAGTTTTTTTTTTTTTGGTTAATTATCCACCATATTAAACTTAACTGCGTCCTCCTGTTTTGTTGAATACTTTAGATTCAAATTAAGACCTTTGGGTTAAATTTTCATCTATAGGTACATCAAGTGCAATGCTAAAACACATTTTAATTTAGACCGGAAGATACAAGTGAACTGTGAACCACTCAGCAGAAGTAGCAGTGGTACTGGTGTTTTCTGGCCAAAGTCATGGTATAGATAGGTTTACTTCATCAGTTTTCACATTTAATCAAAAGAAGGCCAAATGCAATTTTTAATTAAAATATTATATTTTTACTTATAAAATTTAGCATTCTATAATACACACACATTTTATGAAACAAGTTGAGGTGAGTTGAATTTTAAGATTTAACAGGTTTAAAACATGTCTCTAAACCTAAAAAACACTTATAGAAATGCTTACAATTATAAATTGATTTCATATTAACATGATTTAAACCACAATGTTATAGATTATTAGTCTATTTTTTTTCAACTAACTGCTAACTATATATATAATATAAGTTGTAATAATGTAAATTAATAATTAATATATTATTGTAGGTTCTATGCAACACACAATCTCATTATTTATTTACTTATTCAACAAGTGACAATTTAAACGCACATGAACCTGTGACCTTCCACTAGAAAGGATTTAAGGGGCCACATACACATAAATTTGATTGATGTAAATTAACTATTTTTAATTAAAAATAACAATTAAAACTAAGAAATTCAGAAATTTAAGCACGTTCAAAAAGGAAAAAATCGACAAAATATATGCAGTATTTTCCCAAGTCATGATTAATATACCTCGTTCTTAGATTTTATGTAATTAAGGAAGAAATTTATATATTTAGTTTTATATATATTTATGTGTTTATTTTCAATTAAATCAAGATATGGTTATCTTTTATAAATAATTTATTATATAATAAATCTTGTTATTAATTTTATTAACATATTAAAATTTATGTATTATAATTTGATTCGATATAAATATATTAAGTATATAAGACTAACTATATAAATCTTACCCTTGATGTAATGCATATATTCTAATATCAAAACCTGTATTAAGTCATATTATTAATAGATCATGAACGAGAGAAAGCAAATATGGATATGATGAATACTTCACAAATTGATATATAGTCCCACGCGGGTATTGCTGTTATAGATGGCGTTCATAACCAAAACCTTTCCTGACTATATAAGCAACTTTTCTTATATAACCAACCTATAACAACTTTTCTTTTAAATCAATTAACCAATTAAAACAAATTTAGTCTAAATAACATTCTTTATTTCGTGCATACGTAAACCTTATGTTAAAGTTAACACAATACTTCTAACAAAACAAAGTTAAAGCTAAGTTGGCGTTAGAGGTAAGTAATAACTGCCTTGAACATGATCTTTAATTTCTTTCTCAAAGAATATAAAGAGGAAAGGTGGTTGCTTGCAAATGGAAATCATGGAGAAAGCCCTTCTTGAAATCTTACCGCTTCGTTTAGACAAAGAGAGAAATAGGAAGGAAAAGGAAATTTAGGAGGAAAAACTCCTAAAAAAAAAAAAAAACTATTCCTCTTCATCCAAATCAAGCATATATAAGTATAATTAAATCCCTCTATTCTCATAAATCGATCCATCATGCCAAAACGAACATGAATATATATCAATTGTGACAATATTTTTGTTATACTTACGTCTCTTCTTCCAACCACGTGCTGTATTACCTACCTAAATTAGTTTGTACTGATAGATCATAGATCCGACATATATGTTCAAGTAAATTTATCAAAGCATCCCAACTCCACGAGGATATATAGACTTGAAGACAAATTAAAGCAAGCATATGGAACATTACTAGATACAATACAGTATGAAATGTTGACATAACAATTTACTATGTGCAGCACAATTGTAGTTAATTAACAATCGGGTCTAATGATCGTCAATGGTGACAAGGGAGAGTACCTTTGGGCAGAAACCGGTGAAGTTTGCCGGAAAATCAGATCAGAAAATCTTAATGAAGACACGAAAACGAAAGCCAGATCGGTGAAGAGATAGGAATGTTCATGGTAAACTTGCATACACTTTCTCAGAATTACACTGCTCATCATATATAAAAAGGTTCTCACGTCCATTGATCTTTTCTTCTTCTCTAGCTACTTCCTCTTCGTCGTTCTTCTCACCTTGTTGGTCTCCACCTTCTTGAGCTGATTAGTCAATTGATTGTTGTTCACCTACATCCTGATAGAATCATGTTGTTTTTACTAAAATACCCTCGCTTCTTCTTATGTCATAACAAGTTTCAGTATCATATTATATTCTTTTACGAGCCACCCTGCTAACTTTTTTCTTTTTTCTATTATTGGATGCACTGCATGTCCTCATCATAACCATAACCTTAGTTTTAGTGTATGTATGTATGTATATATATATATATATATATATATATTTTAATGGATCAAAAACACAGACCAACATATCTACCCCTTCCCCCACAGAGTAGGATGACTCTTATTTCAAAAGGAAAAAGTAAAACACGCTCACTACACCCACCCCTTAATCACATGCATGGGTTATATAATTCACAAACCTTCTTTTTTGGTTTTAGTACTGACCTTGCACATTTGAAATAGTTTACGTTTTTTTTTTAATTCAATATAATAGGAAGCAAAACGCTTAAAGAAAGAAACAACTTATATCAACCAAGCCAGATCTGTTGGGTTCATTAATGAGATCATAGTCCACATAATAGCTAAACATTCTACAATCCTGTGAGAACACGTGTCTAATGATAAGAAGAATACACATACGTGCAAGCCAATCAGCACGGTATTAGCCTCCTTGAAAATGTGGTCATAGAAAACAGCATAGTCTCATATAATCATTTTCCTTACGCGATGCGAGTTTAAGTTTTAATTATTTCAAAGAATGATCGATAAAAAAAATTATTTCAAAGAACGAAATAGATGAAGATAAAGTCAAATGAGGCTAGCTGATCACGTGGTTAAAATTAAACTTAGGGTGGGAATGCAAGTAGTAGCAGTAAGATGTGAAATTCAATTCTACAATGAATGCTATAGAGAAGAGTCAAGAGAGAATAACAATAGGAGGAAGGAAATGACATGAGGGGTAAAAGGGTAATTTAGATTAGATGCGTGAGGAATGAATCAAATAGATAGAAACAAAAATGGAGGTCAGAAGAGAGCAGCAAAATGAGGACATAATGAACACATTCCCTTGATCCCTACGACCGTAGATTTCGCTGAGTCTCACTGTGTTCAAATCTTTCTCTGCATCTTAACGGCTATATATCATCTGGATGTCGACACCGGTTTCTACATTTTAAATTTTATGAGCTGGGAGCTTCCAAAATGCCTTCTAATGTGATGGCGGTTTCCTTTTTTTTTTTTCATTTTTTATAATTAACTTCTATATAAAATAAAACACATTTTAATATCTTGAAGTCATGAAATGATAGAGTTTTTGTAATATGTTATGATTTTTCAAGGAAAATTATCATAAAATTTTGTAGTTTTGATATATATATATTATATATATATATATATATAAAATGTAAGAAAAAAAATATAATACTCTAGTGTTTCAAGATTTCAAGATACCAGGATGTCTCTTATTTTATGAAAGAAATCAAGAGAGAAGGAAATAAGGTTAGGAAAAGTATCATACTTTATTTATATGAAGAGCTTATAATATATAAATTGTCCTAATAATAACTAATAAATATTCTAATAATATATAATGAATATAAAATAATCTTAAATCTCAACAAAATATAAATTTGAAAAGATAACAAATCTCAACACAATAAATCTTCAAAGATGATATATCCTAATACTTTCCCTTAAACTCAAGATACTTAATCTCAAGAATAAATCTCAATAGATAATAAATTTCACCACAATAAATCTCCAAAAATAATATATCCTAACATCTTATATAGAAGACAATAATCTAAAAAAAATGAAAAACAAATTGAAAAGGTGAGGTATTACAATGGACATTAGAAAGAGGTATATTAAAAAGCCCTTGTCCCATATTTTATAGAATTGCTTTTTCAATTATTGTATTTTATATTTTATTTATGATTTATGTTTCTCGATCCTTCAATTTTGTTAATTATCAATTGTTTATGAATGTTTTTATCTGTTTTCCCGGAATAATTATTTTCTTGAGAACTGCCCCTGAGTAAAAATAAAATAAAATTTTACTTATAAAACCCCAAGCGTGGGTGTAATATGGTTAGTTATGATAATTATAAACCTATAAACCAATTAAAACTTATTTGGTCCAGATAATATGTTTAAAAATGATCATTTCACCCCAATTAAAAATATTTACAAATATTATTTTAATTGAAAATATTTATCATGACTAGAAGCCTGGAACAAAAGAAACCCGGGATCCGGCAAAAATCTTCGTATGGCGCCAACATTGGGCTTCATCATGTTCCCTGATGGCCTGGCCCATTTATGTATAGGTCAAGTCATTTTGCGTGTTTATGAAGTTGCTGTGCCAAATCTTGAAGACAATGAAAAGATACGAAGGTGATAAAGTCGTTGTGCAAAAATAACAATCACTCATTTCTCATTGACCCGTGTTTGATGGGTCATGGCTTGTTCAACTCTGTAATCAATTCTTTGGGGAGAAAAAAGTAGTGTCACAAATATGAACAGTTCATATAATTTATTTCTCACATCTTAAACCAGTTGTAGAATTTGTCTTATAAGCACACTTTATACCTACTTGCTTCTTAAATCGCTACGAATTCTCTCTTGTTTGGCCATGGCTACCTCCACTTCCTAAGCTAGTTTTCTTTTGATGTGGATGATACTATTTGCATCTACCTTGCACTTAGGCTCTTGTTCATTAAGAACCCGTTGCAATGAAATGGAGAGGCAGGCACTCTTAAGCTTCAAGAAAGGTGTCATTGATCCAACAAGTTCCCTCTCTTCTTGGTCTATCAAGAAAGATTGCTGCCAGTGGCATGGTGTTCAGTGCGACAACATCACAGGAAAAGTCACTAGTCTTAACCTGGGTTGCTCACCAATTGATGTAAGTTCCAATTGCTTGAGGTTAGGAGGTGAAATCATCTTGCCTTTATTTCTGCTTGAATCTCTGAACTCATTGGATTTGAGTGGGAATGACTTCCAAACTTTTCATTTGTACCCTTCAAATGCATATCGCAACTTGTTAGGAACTATGCCTCCTCATTTTTGTGGAAATTTCTCCAACCTTAAGTATCTTGACTTGTCATATAATATAAACCTTCACATGGATAACATTCAATGGATCTCTCATCTTCCATCATTGAAAATTCTTGATCTTAGTGGTATTGATCTACACAAGGAAACTCATTGGATCCAACACATGAGTGTGTTGCTTTCACTGTCAGAGTTGTTGTTGAGAAGTTGCCAACTTACTGATGTAATTCCTGGTGTTGGATGGTTTGTCAATTTTACTTCCCTTCAATATCTTGACCTTTCGGAAAATTATTTTGATTTTGAAATTTCTAAACTAGTGTTAAATCTTAGTGATGAATTTTCTGCTCTCATCCTTGAAAGCAATAAGTTAAAGGGCCCAATACCAGACACCTTAAGAAATCTTAGAAATCTGGAATACTTGATGTTATCTGGAAACGAATTGAATGGAACAATTCCAGATTGGCTTGGTGAATATAAGCATATGCAATATCTTGAATTTTATGGGAATTCATTGCAAGGTCCCATTCCTGCTACCATTGGAAATTTGTCAGAATTAATCTCATTAGAGCTCAGTTACAATCACCTGCATGGCTTTTTCCCATCAAGTCTTGGAAAACTCTCAAACTTGGAAAATTTGCTTGTTGGGGGAAATTCATTGGTTGGGGTGGCGTCAAAAATGAATTTCACTAAACTCATAAAACTGCAGATGTTAGATTTGAGTTCGTCAAGCTTTATCTTTGATATGGATTCAAATTGGACCCCTCCTTCTCAACTTGCTTATGTATATTTACATGCTTCAAAACTAGGGTCTGTCTTTCCAACATGGTTATATTCTCTTGAATATGTTCATTATTTGAACATTTCTAGCTCAGGAATATCCTCTATAGTTGAGGACAAGCTCTGGAGCTTGGCTAAGAGAACCACTTGTCACGGATGATATTTCCGTGACCGTGTAAAGACCAAGATAATGAACGATCCGCTGGTTAGCCTCGCACAATATGGGTAAAGGGGGTGACATTAGCATTGGGGGTATTCTGCCTCAGTCTTCGGACTGAGTGCACAACTGGTCGGAGGCTGGTGCCGCCTCCCTGATGAGCCCATGGCAGGGCGAAACCAGTGTGATCCGTATGTGGTAAGGCTTGTCTTGAGGATTATGGGGTCCTCCAGGACGCCGCACGGGCGCCGTGTGCTGCGCCAGACTCTCAGCCCGTGACAGAGAAATGTCACGGATGATACCTCCGTGACCGTGTAAAGACCAAGATAATGAACGGTCCGCTGGTTAGCCTCGCACAATATGGGTAAAGGGGGCGACATTGGCATTGGGGGTGTTCTGCCTCAGTCTTCGGATTGTGTGCACAACTGGTTGGGGGCTAGTGCCGCCTCCCTGATGAGCCCATGGCAGGGCGAAACCAGTGTGATCCGTACGTGGTAAGGCTTGTCCTGAGGATTATGGGGTCCTCCAGGACGCCGCACGAGCGCCGTGTGCTGCGCCAGACTCTCAGCCCGTAACAGAGTGGTATCAGAGCAGGACGTACTTTACTGTCGTGTGCGCGTGGGGTCCCACGTTGGGACTGGTCGGCCTCGGCACCGCTCCAGAAAGGCCTCCGAGTAGGTGGGTCCAAAAGTGGGGACTCGGGCGGGAAGGTTGGCCGTTGTCGACTTCACTCCTGTTGGCTCGCGGGTGCGAGTGGGTCCGAAGAGTGCAGGACTCGGGTGGCCACTCAGCAGTAAGCTGATGTGTTTGTGGCAGTACTGTACGTACGATCCTTGGGCGGAGTCGTTCTCCCCTAGCACGAGGGCGTGCTAGATTGGGTGTGGGAGAATGTCACGGATGATATTTTCATGACCGTGTAAAGACCAAGATAATGAACGGTCCGCTGGTTAGCCTCGCACAATATGGGTAAAGGGGGCGACATTAGCATTGGGGGTGTTCTGCCTCAGTCTTCGGACTGTGTGCACAACTGGTCGGGGGCTAGTGCCGCCTCCCTGATGAGCCCATGGCAGGGCGAAACCAGTGTGATCCGTACGTGGTAAGGCTTGTCCTGAGGATTATGGGGTCCTCCAGGACGCCGCACGGGCGCCGTGTGCTGCGCCAGACTCTCAGCCCGTGACAGAGTGGTATAATGTCACGAATGATATTTTCGTGACCGTGTAAAGACCAAGATAATGAACGGTCCGCTGGTTAGCCTCGCACAATATGGGTAAAGGGGGCGACATTAGCATTGGGGGTGTTCTGCCTCAGTCTTCGGACTGTGTGCACAACTGGTCGGGGGCTAGTGCCGCCTCCCTGATGAGCCCATGGCAGGGCGAAACCAGTGTGATCCATACGTGGTAAGGCTTGTCCTGAGGATTATGGGGTCCTCCAGGACGCCGCACGGGCACCGTGTGCTGCGCCAGACTCTCAACCCGTGACAGAGTGGTATCAGAGCAGGACGTACTTTACTGCCGTGTGCGCGTGGGGTCCCACGTTGGGACTGGTCGGCCTCGGCACCTCTCCAAAAAGGCCTCCGAGCAGGTGGGTCCAAAAGTGGGGACTCGGGCGGGATGGTTGGCCGTTGTCGACTCCACTCCTGTTGGCTCGCGGGTGCGAGTGGGTCCAAAGAGTGCAGGACTCGGGTGGCCACTCAGCAAGTAAGCTGATGTGTTTGTGGCAGTACTGTACGTACGATCCTTGGGCGGAGTCGTTCTCCCCTAACACGACGGCGTGCTAGATTGGGTGTGGGAGAATGTCACGGATGATATTTTCGTGACCGTGTAAAGACCAAGATAATGAACGGTCCGCTGGTTAGCCTCGCACAATATGGATAAAGGGGGCGACATTAGCATTGGGGGTGTTCTGCCTTAGTCTTCGGACTGTGTGCACAACTGGTCGGGGGCTAGTGCCGCCTCCCTGATGAGCCCATGGCAGGGCGAAACCAGTGTGATCCGTACGTGGTAAGTCTTGTCCTGAGGATTATGAGGTCCTCCAGGACGCCGCACAGGCGCCGTGTGCTGCGCCAGACTCTCAGCCCGTGACACACTACTCTCGATTTGTCTAACAACTTGATTAGTTGTGACTTATCAAATGTTCTGCTAAACTCTGGTGTGATTGACTTAGAGAATAATAAATTCATGGGTGGGCTCCCACGTTTATCATCAAATGTTTTGGTGTTAAAGATGGCAAATAACTCTTTATCAGGATCTGTTTCATCACTTTTATGCCATCCAATGAATAAAAACAGCCAATTGAGGTATCTGGACCTGTCACAGAATCTTTTGTCCGAGGAACTTCCAGATTGCTTCACAAACTGGAAATTTTTGGTTTATGTGAATTTAGGAAGCAACAACTTGAAGGGTAGCATTCCTGAATCTGTGGGCTCTTTATCTAATCTTCAATCTTTGCATTTGCCTAAAAACCAATTCTCTGGTGATTTACCTTTGTCTTTGCAAAATTGTAGAAGCTTGAGACTTCTTGATGTTGGGGAAAATAACTTTTCAAGATTTGTACCTAGTTGTATGAACCAGAACATAAGAGCTCTTAAACTGAGATCCAATCAATTTACAGGCAATATTCCCTCAGAAATATGCCAACTTTCTTCTCTTATGATATTGGATCTTGCAAATAACAAATTTTCTGGATCAATACCAAGGTGTATTCATAATATCACCTCCATGATTTTCCCTAATGCTTCAATAGAGCACGAGTTTAACATTGTCTCAAGTAAATCAAAATATGTTAGTGATTATTCTGACACTCTCATGCTTCTTATGAAAGGTCAAGAGTTAAGCTACAGTAGCAACCTCGAGCTAGTGCATATGATTGATCTTTCAAGGAACAATTTATCTGGAGTTCTTCCTCCCGAATTGTTTGCACTTACAAGCTTGCAATCTTTAAATTTATCTCAAAATCATTTGGTAGGCAAGATGCCAGAAGAGATTAGAGACATGAAGCTCTTGGAATCATTGGATGTCTCAAAGAACAAACTTTCTGGTCCAATTCCAGAGAGCCTATCTATCCTATCTTTTCTCAGTCACTTGAACCTATCGTTCAACAATTTCACTAGCAAAATCCCTACAGGGACCCAACTTCAGAGTTTTGATGCACTAAGCTATATAGGCAATCCTGAACTTTACCTTTGATAAAGAACTGCACACAAGGTGAAAAATTAGACAAGAAAGAGCAACATGGAGAAGAAGATGATTTCGAAGAATTCTTGTTTGGGTTTTATGCCAGCATGGGAGTTGGATTTGCTGTAGGATTCTGGGTAGTCTGTGCCACCATTTTCTTCAACAGGAGATGTAGACATGGTTATTTCAAGTTTGTTGACCATGTGAAAGATAAGCTTTATGTCTTCATTGTCTTGAAGATGAAGTCCCTCCGTTGAAATCCATTTAGCTGCTATCTTGTTGAAATAGTAAGCAAAAATAAAAGAAGTTTTGTATGAATGATTTAAAACTTTGGTCAGTCCTATATAGTATTTATAATTTCCAACCTCATATTAAGATCCATCAATTATCATCATCATTTATCTTCATCTCATTTGATTGAAAGGTATCTCTTTTTAATATTACTGTTTCTTTATTTTACTGCAAGTCTTATAAACTATTGTAATCTCAATATATATGATATATATTTTAGGTGAAATTTTATGTGAGATGGATTATAGGGGCTTATCAAGTTAGCATATAGTTCACAATTCAAAAATCATTTATAAAAGTTTTTACAGGTTGTCTATTTATAGGATTCAAGCTTATGTCCTTCTAAGATATAAGTTGTATTCTTATTAACTGAATCAACCTTAAATATATTTTTAGACAATTTTTATCAAAATATGTGAAAACACTAGAAAATTCAAGAAAAGTGATTACCTTTTCCAGTATTTTAAAAACTAGATTGATTATACCGTTGGCCAAATGGCATGATGGCTTGATTTTCTTCAAAAAACTATCCATAGGGTTAAGCCTGGTAAAGAATTGGAAATCGATGTTAGATCGGGAATCAGACTAAGCTAGACTTGTTTAATGCTTTTTTTTTAAAAAAAAAGAGTGAATCCAAATTTTTACTTTTAAATGACAATATTGGGTGAGCTGAACTTGAAACCAAAATTGTAAATCCTCAATAAGTGTACTTTTTTTATAATTCACATGGCAGGTGCTAATTCTTTTATGCACATTTTTTAACAATTTCATATTTATATTGTTATATATGTGTATAATATTATTTTATTTAATTATTACATCATTAGTTTGACAATCAGTTTGACCATAAGAACTATGAGCTTTTGGCCTTTTCAGTTCGTGGTCTAGTTCAACTTTTAAAACACTGCCTTTTCCTCTCTCTTTTTTGGCACATGGAGAAGTGAATTCTTTTATGATTTTTTTAATCAAAATGAATGGTTATATTTCAATTTAATTTCTTTCTTGGGATTTCAATTTAATTTTTAAACATAATTCGACATAAGTTTTTAAATCCCTTGTTAACTTATTTACTTAGAAAAACGTCTTGATGGAGGGAAAAATCAAAGATACTTTATACTTTTGGTGTTTTTCTTATCATTTTGTTCTCTTTGTACTATTTTGTTGTGGAGTTATGCTTTTCTTGGTGTCATTGTGTTTTAGTTGTCTTGTTCATCTTGCTTGTTTGTGACTATGATGTAAATTATGCAATAAAAGATGGCTTATCCCTTATGACAATATAAAGCTACTACCCTACATGTGGAATGTTACTTTCACATGTAAAATAAGTAGTGTTATAAAGATGACATAATTTCAAGAATATAATATTTTGACAACATCCTTTTCCTCTAATAAACAAACCAACACTTGTTATTTTTACATAGAATTTGAGATAAGTCAAACTATTTAAGAGATTCAAGATAGTGAGTATCCCATCTTTAATATTGTTGATGATATCAGAAAACTAATGTTACAAGATTGGAAGGTTGCCTGCAAATATGTTTACAGAGAAGTTAAGAGACTACATGAATTGGATCGTGACTTTAGTTGTAGTATCAATATTGAATCTACTATTATGATTAGAACTTTTAGATCACGTTTGATTATTAAAAAGAAATGGAATTGAATGGATTGAAAGAATCAAAACAAAAATAAACTAAATCAATTTTCCCCCCATAATAACATGTTAAAACTCATTAATTATTTTTGCCTTCATTTTTTCAATCCATTTTATGTCATTCTATTCTAATAAACAACGTGACCTTAGAATTGTAAATATTTGCTTAGTTTGGAATTGTATTATGGGCAATAATACAATGTTCTTCTTTCTAACTTTATTGGTCTTCCTTCAAACAAATACATTTTTCTTTGTATTAACAAAACTATTTATAACTAGTAAGTTATAGCTCAAATGCATGATCTTTCCCTTCTAATGCAAGGGTTTTTGAGATCAATCCCCAAGTGGTCAAAAATGGGGAATAGTGTGTATGTGAGATGCATGCGATATGTGTGAGATTTCCTTTGTAGGGAAGAGTTAAATATAATAGAAAAAATTGTATATAATTTATAAATTATATTGCTCTCTAAGGTAGTGTTTGGATTTGAAGATTTGGATTTCAAATCCCACATTTCCAATCCATATATTTCAAATTCCTTGTTTGGATGCTTAAATAATTTCAAATTTCAATGTGAAAATTCTTTGTTTGGATTGCACAAAATTTCAAATAATCATAATTAAATTTTATTTTTATCTATTCCTACTTATAAAAAATTATATTTTTAATGTTTTGCATTTAAATTATCAACCAAAATTGACCCTTCATCCATATTATCCGAATTATTTTTTTTCTATAAAATTTGATCAATAGATAAAGACTAAACTTTAATTCAAAAACTTAATCATTCAACACTAAAACAAAATATTAGAAACTTTATTAAAATATTCGAGTGCCAAAATAAAATATTCTCAATACCAAATAAAGCAAAATGTAGAAAAGCTTGTATAGGGGGAAAAAACCTCTGACTAGAAATTAGTTCCAACATAAGAAAAACTTGTATGCGATATTCATATCATCAAAATGTAAATCTAAACTTTTAACTACTCCATATAGTTTAAAATATATTCCATGTGATTTTAAATATAGGAAAAATATTAATTCACACAATTTAAAAAAGTTAATTAATTAGGTATGCTAACTATGATTGAAATTAAAAAAAAATTGGACTAAATTATCCCATAATTAAGGAAAAAATTTTATTTAGTAAAAATAATATTAATTTAATGAGGGACAATTTAAAAAACTATAATAAATACTTCTTGAAATTTGTAGTTTTACTTATAAATAAAAAAGGTGCAAATATTAATTTATTTTATATTAAAAAAAAGGGGGAATGTGACATTTTTTTATCAACTAATATTGGTCTACAATTTAAGTTGCTTTGTAAAAAGTCAAATGCATTGATTTTTTCCACAAATGTCATTATTAATTTTATTGCAAAGAGATATTTAATTGAAGGCTTAATCTTGAAAAAAATAGTGATAATTTTTTACTTATTTAATGATACAAATTACAAATCATTTTTAACTACTTTTCTATAATACCTGTAAAGATAGTTAAAAAGTATCCCATATTTTAGACAAAAAGAAGTAATTATTCAAAAGAAAGAAAACAAAAATTGGCCAAAAAAAAATCTTCAACTACAATTCAATTCTAATATAAGAAAAATTTATATTGTTCTATCAACTTGATATTCATTCCACATTTGCATAGTTAAAGTATCTCTATATGTTGTCCATTCATGTGTTGCTTGAATACTTCTAATATTCTCCTCATCTCCAATTTCACTCTCAACTTCCAAAAAATTTTCAAAGTCTTCATCCACCTCTTTGAGCAAGTCATCTTCAAACATCTCTTCTCTTACAAAATTGTGAAGAATAAAACATGCATTTATAATTTTGACTTGAGTTTGCTTATCAAAAAAGCTAGCAGTTCGTAAAATAGCTCATCTCTTCTTTAATAGCCCAAAAGCCCTTTCAATGGTATTTCTTGCTGACAAGTGTCGAAGATTAAATAACTCTTTATAATTTGTTGGTGTGTTTCCTCTCTATAAATTAAGATGATACCTTGTTCCTCGATATGGTGCTAAAAAGCTTGGACCATTTGCATACCCAACATCTACTAGATAATACCTATCTACAAAAGTATTTGAAATAATTAGTTTGTATTTTGGACACAAATTTCTCAATCTTAAAGTGATTATTTAAGATTAGTGAAATCTTACTAGCTGGAATCTTTAAACCATGACGCCTATGAAGAGTATCACCTAAAATTCGAGAATCAAATGTGAATCCCTCCCAACTAGGTAGCACATATGAGAATATCATTTGAGGATCACAAACTATAAGAACATTAGTGCTTAACTCACCTTTCCTATTTCGATACCTTGCCCGATCTTTAATTGGAACAGTCATTTGAATATGAGTACCATCAAGTGCATTAAGCGCACCCTAAAAAAATTATCATTATCAAATAGTTAACAACTATATGAACTGAATTACAAACTTTTGTTACTTCAAAGAATTTTCACTTGTCATTATCTTGATAATTTGCATCTGAGTTAATCTCTTTGATATAGTATTTGCCTATCTTCATAATAGCCTTGAGAACCACATGAAATTGTTTGCTAATCGTTTCTCCAAAACGTGCAAAAGCTGCCTTAATCCATCTATATTTTATTCCATGAGCAAGAATATGCACAAATAATGCTACAATTCCTTTAATTGTAACATTTCTTGAAGCCATAAACCCTCCTTTAGATTGCAAAATGCCATACAGTTTTTTGAATGTAGCTGGATTAAGGCATAATAGCTATATGCTTGTGGTTTCACATTCTAGAATTTTCATTCAAAGAGATCTACGGTGAGCATGTTCACTTTCATCCTATGAAATTTCTCGTAATCTATACTTATAGTTATGTGATGCTCCAATGATCATTGCAATAAAACTTATTATAAATAAAAAAATTTCTGATTCTTCTTCCCCCTCAATCAAATTCTTTTAATCTCTAGTACGCTTTCTCCTAATTTGCAAATTTTGTTGATTACTATCCCTATTGAACAAACTGCCTGTTACATGAAAGTACTTTAGCATCAAAAACACCATTGGAATAATAAGGAAAAAAATGCTATAAACTAAACAAGTTTGCAGAAAATAGCAAAAGGTATGACATCACATTAAATTTGTGCAAGAGAAGGTAAATTTGACATATCAAAGTTGAGATTGAATTAATTAATGTATAGAATAAGGGGACAACATTATTTTTAATTTGTCTGTTGTAATTGACTCAAAATATTAAAATTGACAAAAATAAGAGCATGTGAGTTATGAAAATTGAAAAGAAAGGAGGGTAAGTAATTGAGTATTATAAT